TCGTTTTATGCATTATAATTAGAATAAAAATTTACTTTTCTACATTACAAATACCTCATCATTATCCGAATGCAATGCAAGAATTACCTTCAGTCAATTTTTTCATTATTTATTATATAACCGTACGTTTACAATAAACAGTTATTTTATAAATTTATTTTATAAATTATTATTTTATTAAGTAAAAATATGTATTAAACTAATACGTTCATTTCAAACGAACCATAAATTTCCACACTTTTAATGTAAATTTTTTATATAGATATTTATTATTAAACAAAAATATAATTTCGACTATTATTTATCATTTATACAAATAATATGTTAATTTATTATCATTATATCTTTAGGTACATAAATAATTTATATTAATGATATCAGAAAACTAATTAAAAACACCCTTAGTTATAATAAATAGTTATATGTAATATAAAAGAGTTATCTATTAATATTAATATATTATTATATTTAAAAAATATATATCAAATTTCATAGTGCATTATTTAATTTTTTTGTTTTTTTTTTCCATTAAACGGAATGTGAAAGTTATTGACAATAAAGTTATTATTTTGATAATCTATGAATTTACTAATATAAAAAATTAATTGCAAAAATATTGGTAATTTTGAGAGATAAATTAAAAAATTCTACATATTTCCATACATGTACAAAAATATTTTTATAAAATTTATTCTTTTAATTTATATTTATAATACTTTTTATTTTAATATTTACTTCGTTCTTTTTATATAAAGATAACAAGATTTAATTTTCATTCTTAAAAGTGTGCTCTAAAGTAGCTTATAATTATAAAGCTCCTGATATTTACTACATGTTTTTCAAATGGTTTTCATATATGACGGGGGGGGGGGGATAATCAAGAAAATGGTAAATATATTCCTTGTTGGTAATGGTAACGGAACGAGTAGTATTTAAGTTCATTAATCCTGCAAAATAACATTTAAATTTGGAAGATAAAAGCTCTTAATAAACATCAATAGTTAAATTTATGGATTCCATGTTAAAATTATGTATAATATTGTCCATTTGTCCATATAAATTAATATTATTATTATTATTATTATTATTATTATTAAACATAATAATTCTATTCTCAAATTCACATCTCAAAATTTATTTCAAATAAATAGTTTTAAGTGCAAAGCAACTAATTCGCAACAAAAATTGATTTTAATAATATGAAAGTCTTATTTAAAAAATTTTATAATTATTATTATTTACTACTAGTCCGAACGGATATAATCCATGAATAATCACAATAATTTTCATACCCCAATTAATAAAATACGCGATTTCTTTTTAATAAAAGCAGCTTTTCTCTTAATGAAAAACTATTTCTAAGCAGTCACAAAGCACTGATCACAAAAATCCAGCCACCAATACACATTGTCTGCATTTTCCAATATATTAAACAGTATTTATACATCATTTTAAATGACGTCCGTTCTACTGTTTTTCTTAACTAATTAGCTTGTTTCCCACAATTTCACGCATTCGTGCACTCTCTCGCTTATTATTTTCAAAGATTTGTCTTCGCTTGATAAAACAGTATCTTATACGAAGAACCAACATATAACTGTTACTCACACTCCGTTTCATTTATTATTGTACCTCTTGTTAAATGCTATATTCGTTAGCCTACTGTTCTACATTTGAGGGGTAAATAATGTTGATCGACATGTGCTCTCACATGCAGGTCGAACTACGCATATCTTTTATATGCAAATCTGCATTCGCTCTAATATTGATTTACTTGAATAGTAAAATGATACGTTGAAAATAAAATCAATGGAAAAAGATAGAGAAGGCTTGTCATTGAAAAAAAATGCCAATATCATCAAGCCATTGCTCATATATCATTACTTATGGCAAATTATTAAAAAAAAAAAAAACAAAAAAAAAAACAAAAAAACCAAAAAAACCAAAAACAAACAAACAAAATAACAATAACCCATTGTGAAATTAAGAGTTATGCAGTACTGCTTTTTTTTTATAATTTATTGAGAATTAGTAATTGCCAGGAACAACGGCCTCAAATAGTGTACTTTTTAGCAACATACACTCCAACGCCGTCATTAGAAATATTTATTATATATTTTCTATAAGATTTTTCGCGATTTTTAAGTACTCTAAAAATCGTAGTAACATAAAATTAAAATAATTGCACGATTTTGTTTATATATTGGTATAAAAAGGTCCTTTTCACGTTATTCAAGAGGTGTTGATACAAACTTTAAATGAAAAAAAGTAATTATACTTATGACAGTGAAATTACTTGCCAATAATTTGTATCGGTAAATCCTTACAACGTACATTTCTGCAGTACTAAAAAGAATATTTTACTATCCTCCCTTTATAAATTTCCAAATAAATCGATCCAAATGTTGAGTTCTGTTTACCAAAATGAACCCTATTTAATTATCCATAGTCTATGAATTATAAACAATAAGGGAGCGTCAAAGAAGCAGTAAACCTCGAACCAAAGGCTGCCGTTGACTTTCGAGCAACAGAACGTACCTTCGACACCAACAGAGCAAGAGAAAAGAACCGATTTTCTTAAATCATGAATAATTGTTATACACATAATAATCGTTTAAACAAAGCTGGCATGGCATAATATGGTATCCTCTAAACACAGTCTGCACTCCACTAGCTCACCTTGTTCTTACCATAACATGTCGAATTTTTTTGTTATCATTATTAATTATATTATATTATATTATATTATATTATATTATATTATATTATATTATATTATATATATATATATATATATATATATATATATATATAGTTATACATATGCATACATATATTCATACAAAATATATATGTACGTATATGCGCGTATGTATATCATACATATAGATATACATACATACGTGTTTATATATATATATATATATATATATATATAAATTAAATAAAGCATTCGAAATTGCGTCAAGTTTCATTAAATTGCCTCTTTTTAATCAAAATAATGCACATTATTTTTATGCTATTAAAATAAAAATGTAATAAAAAAAGAACATTACTTATCATTTATTTTATTATAATACATAAATATCTCCTCGCACAATCCTTTTATTCATATATATGATTCGAGACTGTAATGAAACTTGTCGCTGAATTTCGTAGTTGCAAAAATGTATCGCTAATATTCCGACTATATATATACATACATAATATACATGCATACATGTTCATGAATACGTGAATACATACGCGTACAATGAATACGCATACGTATGTACGAATTATATATGAACATATACGTATGTATTTGTAACGCCGTCTTAATAAATAAATATAATTAATAAAGAAATAATATTTGCAGATAGTAAATTTTTTAATCCTCGTTAGAAGGTAGCCCGCGATATTTTGTGCAGTCGTATTTGAATGTATCATATTTTTTTAAAAAATACGTTTTTTCATGTTTGACATTGCGCGTGTTTCAGTTTTAACTTTCATTCGCTCGTTCTTCGCTCACTCGCTCACTTTCACTCACTCATTCATTCGCTGATTTACCCACTTACTACTCTCTCTCTCTCTCTCTCTCTCTATCTCTCTCTATCTATCTCTTTTTACTATATTATATTGCCGTTAAACTGACTTAGTACTCGTATGTCGAGATTTCGGCGTTTTTTTATTTTTTATTTTAAACATTCGACTTTGCGACTCAATGTAATATCAGAAATCCATTGAATATTGCAAAGCAGTCACCAAACCAGGAAGCATGTCATACCGTATCATATGTCCAAGTATTGGCAAAATGAGACAATACGAAAATGGATGATCAAAATGATAGAAAACAGAAAAATATTTGCATTAGTTTTTTTCTTCAAATAGTTATTTACAAATAATTGCAACATTTATTCATAATTACTGTTGCTATCCATTAATGAGACTTAAATTAATTTCAAAAATATAATTTTTGTAAAGTTACTTTATTGTTTATTTGTATGCTATTTTAAGTAACTTGTTCTATGATTTGATCTAGAAATTTACATTTACAATAAAATGATGCTTGGCATCGACTTTAATTGATTATAGCACCGACGAATAAAAATGAATAATTTTTACAAAATAAAACAAAACAATAATATATGTTCTACAAGTTTGGTCCAAAGATTACACTGAGGCGCATGTATAATAAGTACATGCTCTATGGGACTGATCATGCTACATGGCTAGGTGCACTACTTCCAAAAATTGCTTTCCATATTTGATTACTAATAGTATTCATTTTTTATTTTTTCCTTTTAATCAATACCAGTGCAATTAACAAAAAAGAGAAAAAGTAACATTTCATCTTTCGATATATCCGCCGAAATAACGAAAGTGACACAAAATGCCCGGAAGCATATGAACAGATCTAGTTTATAACGTACGTGAAAAATCTACTATATCCGAAATACGAAATAACTAAACTCTTTTATTACGAACAATTTCAGTGCTTGTTAAACGTACAAACTGTATTGTCTATACAAATTCTTTACGGTGTTAATTAATTTTACGAGGATGAATATTTGCGCTTTACGGAATACAAATTTTTCAAAAACGTTACCAATAAGTCTCCAAAATAGAAATTAAAAAAAAAAAAAAAAAAAAAAAAAAAAAAAAATAAACAAAAACAACACAAATTTAACGAATATTTTCGTGCTACATCAAGTCTTACCGAAAATAACTTCGTTATTATTATTATTATTATTATTATTATTACTATTATTATTATTACTACCACTAGTATTATTACTATTATTACTATTATTATTATATTTGTATCTTCGAGTCGCAAACAGTCGTGAATCACCCCGTAACTATAATCGCAAGAAATACCGTTAGTTTATCTGCTTATATTTTTTTTCCAATTTTATTCTGATTTATATGTCATGACCGCTTCTTATTAAGCAGTCGTTTTTTGTTCCCAAGTTGTAGGGGCATAATGCGACAACAGTTAGATGAGGTTCATATCTAACCTGCTTCACTGTCGCTCGAATCAGTGGAACTCGAGGAGAGCGAACTGCTGCTGGAATCACTATCACTGCTACTACTACTTGATGCTGACAATCTCGATGGTCCACTGGCTCCACCAGTTCCAACCACATCAACCGACTTACTACTGTCTTCTATAACACCAATTTACAAAGTGATAGTTAATTTTTCATCATCTGTAGTAGTTCTATTATCATAATTTTACACTGTGAGGATAATACGTCGACATAAACATAATTATGGTCATTAGAAATCCATTAGTATAAAAAAATCAATATTTATTTAATAAATTTGACATAAATTAATTTAAGTTTTTATTTAATATTAAACAAAATATAGGTAGATATAGATTTCTAAAACTTTTTATGAATAACTTTTATTATGAAAGATACGATGAATATCATATATAGAGTTATGGAAAACTTTTATTGTATTAAACATGGTTTGGTAAAGTGCCACGCAACATCAAAATTATGTAAAAAGAACTAGACCCTTTTTCTCAAAATGGTAGATTCATTTAAAATTTTAGCAAAATATTCTATTATATAAACCTTGTAATATAACATTTTCAGAATATTTTACTAATCTTTTCATCTAAAGAAAATTCAATATTTTAGAAAATCAAATTAATCAATCCAGATTTGAACTTTTCAATAAAGAATGCATATTTTCATTCTCCTAAGCCTAAAATCTTGTATTTACTTTAAAATTAATATACGATATATTCAAGTATTATAGAAAAATTATGGTAAAGTTATACACTAAAACACTACTAATTTTTATGCAAAAAAATCAAGGAAATATAAACAATGTGTTTCTTAACTACGAAAAAACAAAAGTATAATTTTAAAACAAATTATTATAATTATTGTATATACAAGGAATAGTATAATTACTTTAAGTAAATGTTTTCATATTAAGCTAAGACTTTATTTATACTGAAGTATAAATAAGAAAAAGAAAAAATTTTTAAAAATTGTATTTTAATAATTTTTTTATTTTCTTGGCGTGATGAAAAAATTTTAATATTACATCTTTTACTTATCATACCAAAATTAAATTTGTATATCAAGTTATTGTGGATCTTATTAAGATGAATAATCATACTACATAAACAATATTTCTTAATAAAATAATCAAATGAATAATAAACACTGTTATGATTGTACTTAAAATATATATGAATATAATAAAATTAATATTTATTGTACTAACCTTTTTTCATAGGCTTTTTTACATTTCCCAGCTGCCCTGTGACATCTTGTAACCTCTTTTCTAATTCTTGTTTCTTCTCAGCTATCTGTTCATCCTTGGACTTACCACTGACCTTTTTATCTATAGATGGAAATACAAGCATTAGAATTTAATATTTCTATATTAATGAAAAGATGAGTAAATATCTTAAATTACTAATACTTTTCAATAAAACATGATAATTACACTTGCTTCTCTAGACTATTTATAAAACAAATTGTATTGGATTATCATGCTGGAAATTGGATTTTACAATAAAAAATTAATACTTTGCTACGTTACATTACTTTAGAAAAAAAAAAGATAAAAATATTTGATAAATGTGTACATACAAACATAATTCTAATATATAACTATAATTGACGTTTGTGAGTGGAGCTACTTCCCATATCCCTACATTAAGCATGGTATTTATATATATATATATATATATATATATATATATATATATATATATATATATATATTTAGAATTATTTTTGTATTTACACGTTCTATATATATATATATATATATATATATATATAAATACCATGCTTAATGTAGGGATATGGGAAGTAGCTCCACTCACAAACGTCACTTCAGGACAAACTACTACACTCTGTTTAGTTAGTTAAAAAATATTATGAAATATTATGAATGTGTTAAATTCGACACAATTAACAATTAACAAATTGGTATTGTAAATTGGTAAATACATATTTTTCTTTTTCTCATTTATAGTGAAAAAGATAAGTATGAGAGTGAGCAGTTTGACGGCAGGTTGGAATTCTAAAACGTGCCGGACCCATGAATCGACGTCGGAACAGAACTTACAGTAGAGCTTACGTGACATTTTTCTGAGGCAAGATGCGACGTAACTCTCCAACTCTCTGAGCGTCGATGGTTTCAAAGTTTCGAAGTCAATTTCTATTTCATCAGGATTCGAGTCCCTTAACGAAGGCTCACGTGACTGTATTATATGTACTACACGACCCAATTTGTCACCTACATAAAAAAAAAGCATAATAAACAGAAGTTACATTAATTTAAATTATTGATTAAAATTTCTTGTATTAATTAAAATATATTAATCTGAATTGGTACTATCATAATATTGTTTTAACTTTTTACTGGAACTATATCAAAATTTATATAAAATTTGTTATTTTTTTTAGGCCTTATATTTTATTTTCTATAAATAAAATACTAACTCTTATAAAATAGAATAATTGATTTATTATAAATGAAAACACTATGTTAAGTAATATTTTAATTGTATTATTGTAGGCATCATTTATATATAAAATATTTTATCCTAACACAAAGAATAAATTGAATCATTTAGTATACATACCATATGATTTAACTAATATTAAATGTACTTATGTCAACCTTACAAATATTATATTTTACTACTAATAAATTTAAAACTAACCTAATAATATATTTACGTAATTTTGTATTTATTATTTGAGCAATGATAATTGTAGGTAAAACTGAGGACTGCTTTTCTAAGACTCATAATTATAATAACTGTCACAAGAAGTTAAATAAGCAACTGAAAATCACAATTTAATTGCTATTGGCATTATTTTTGGTTATAAAGTATGGAAAGTCAACATCGAATATCTATCAATTATACTTACTTTTGCTCTTTTTCAAATTAAGTTACATGACAATACTGTTACATAAGTATAAAATAAACACCGTTGAATTTTATATTTTGTCTTTAATAAAAGAAATAAATATTTCTTTTATAAAACGTACCAGGTAACCTATTAATATCCAAACTGAGCTGCCTTTTTTCGTCATATGACATCGGCTTCGCATTGTCTTCGTCTTCTGAGTCGAAGGCGATAGGAGGCGGCTGATTTGCCGCATTTTTCTTTTTATTTCCGGCCGATCGACTATTAGTCTTGGGCCTCTTGTTTGCCGCGTTCGCAGCCGTGGCTTTACCTGGCCCTCTACCTTTGCCCTTTTGACCCTTGGCATTGACTGCCACTGCAGCCGCCGCCGCTGCCGCTGCCGCAGCGGCTGCCGCAGCCGCAGCAGAACTTGGAGCCAAATGATGTCCTGAAGACATAATATAGGTTCAAACACGAGTCTTGGGTTAATAATGAATAATAATTTACTTCTCTAGTTTAAATTACACCTCTTAATGCTGAAAATGGTGTTCAAATTTTCATAGATTTACCATTTTAAAAATTGTATAATATGATAAAAGTAATTTAGAAATTATTACGCAAATACGAATAGTGAAGGACTTACATCATTTTTGTTTTACATAAAAAGTTTAGAAAAAGATAAGGAAATAAAACAGCAATTTTTTTAAATATTATCTTCAATGCCAAATTAATAATACTAAGATGAAAATTTAATATAATTAATAATGATATTATATAAAATAAGCAAAATTATTAATTAAAAATATTAGACGTTGATTGTTACATAACTTTAAGGATAATAAGATAAGCATTCTCACAAATCTAGGTCATTTACAGATAAAATACTTAAATAAACCTTGGAATTACTTATATTAATTACACAGTACATACCTATGGCATAAATATACAATAATAAATGGTTATGATTACCTGCGCCCAACGAAACATTGGCTAAACTAGCACCAACACTATCTGAAACACTTCGCAAACCGCCTCCTGGCTTCATTAATTCTTTCATGGCACCACTATGTCCGCCCGCCATGAGATCCTTGCTATTGAGAGGCTTGGACTTATTCGGCTTATCAGGCTTCTTCTTCTTACTCTTTTTTTTACCACTTTGCTCAACGAGTTTGCGCATTTGCTCCTGCATGGCTTTCAGCTGCACAAATAAGTAAACAAACAATTCTAATACTTAGTTTTGAAGATAAATAGTGTTTGAAGTCATACTAGTTTCCAATAATTAATTAAATAGTAAGTAAATGAAAAAAATTAAATCATATTAATATGTTAAGTGTAGGCATTGTTTAATTAAAAAATTTCTTAATACCGTATATTTTAATTTTACTTACCTCTTGTTGTAAGGCAACTAATTTTTGCGTTCTTTCTTCCTCGGAATCATCAGAATCGGAAGATTCCTCCGAAACAGAACTGCTGCCACTACTATCCGAGCCTTTTATACCAACTAAACCACCTAGTGGTTCATCTGGAATCTTAGCATACCTATTGTATAAACAATCATATTAGATTTGCTATTTCAATACAATATATTTAATAAAAAATTTAATAAAAATGTTGACCTCATTTCAAAAACATCCTGCAATTTTTTTGCCATAGCAACAACATCGTGATCTGGAGGATTATACTTATAGCAATTGGTAAATATAAGTCTTACATCTGCGGCAAATTCTAAAGCCGTATTGTACTCCCTTTTGTCCATTTTTAACTACAAAAAAATCTTGGCATAAACACTAGCAAACGTTATAATAACATTTTCAGATAATAGTAAATATAAATCATTTTGTAATTACGATTCCTTACTATACCAGTTGTTTGAATAAAATTATATTCAATGCATTTAAAAATTGTGGTTATTACATTATTTTGATGAAATCATTGCATCAACAAGAATAAATACCATTTAATATTTATAAAAACCTCAAATCTTTTTAAATCTTTCTTCTATAGCATAAAAGATGATTTATGATTTACTTATAACTGATAAAATTAACAATGAACATATATAAAAATAACATACCTTAACTGTACCAAGATCCATAGGTTTTTTGATGATGTCATGGTAGTCATGAAGGCCTAAAAGTTCTGCATCAACAGGTTTATAAAAAGGCCACGCATAACTCTACGATACAAAAGAGAAATCTTTATGATCCCATTTCTTAATCGTTGAGATTTTAAAAGTAAAGTAATAATTACCGAATGTTTCTTGGAGAACAATTCTTTCAATATTTCATTGCAAGATTTTAAAGCATCAGAGAGTTTGTCTTTTAATTTGTTGCTTGTGTGTTGAGGCTAAAATAAAATAATTGAATTGACTTTCAGTTGATTTTACAAAAAAAAAAAAAAAAAAAAAAAGTTGTTTTTTTCCTCAAATTGTACTTAAAATAAAAAAAAAATGATTTTATAAATTTTATAAATTTATTACAACAAATTATAGGTACACATCTATTAAAACAAAAGATATTTAAAATCAACAAATGTTATTTAGAAAACGTTAAATTGAATATTATTATCATATTGACATAAATTATGGAAAGAATTAATAAATAATGTATGTAACAACAATCATTTTGTATGTTTAAAAATGGAATGATGGATGAAGTTCTGAATTTATCTTCTTTATTCAATTACAATTTTTTTTTTCAACTACGTATGCCACAGTATACGTTTTATTTATTACGAAAGTTGTATTAATGGACAGAATTATTATTTGACATGTACTTCCTCTTACAGAGACGTTTATTTTTAATAAAATCATTTAAACTTATGATTTTTATTAATCTTATGATAATTACATGATTTTCAATCATAAATGTATAGGTTATTTTAAACGTAAAGCAAATTAATAGAAATAAATTATGTTTAAAATATAAATGTTAATACATATTTATTATTATTAAGAAAATGATAATGATAAAACGATTAAAAATTTTTTTAAGTTTTAAAAAGACATTTATTCTTATATATAATATTCTTTTATATACACTTTTTATTTTTAAATATAAGAAATTTTAAGACAATGTAAAAGTTCATAATATAATATAACAAAAACAATAACAACAAAAATAGATGCACACACTACAATACATTTTTCTTTATCCCACTTTTTTTTATAATTAATTTTAATATAATTTTTTACAACAAATAAACTTAAAACAAGACAAAACAAATGATGTGAATTTTGAAGATGATAAAAATGAATATACCTGTTGGGCCATAGCCCCCATCAGGGGCATGTTAGCCTGATGAAACGGCACCAGGCCGTCTTCTGCTTGCCTCGTTGGCTGAAACAGCCCCATCAACCCACTGTTAGTACGTAATGTAGTGACTTGGTTATATGTGCATGCACCAAAGACATTGTCACATGTATGACAATTAAATGAATTTAGCCCGTTCAAGGATAGATAATATTATCTTAATGCTAACACTATCAAAATTTGCCATTTTGTTTTCAAATTATTTTATTAAAGTATTACTTAACTTAATAATTAATTTAATATTAAAATTTTAATAATATAAACTTGATAGATATAAATAAATATGTAAAATAAATGTATATTAAAAATATAACTTTTTAAAATATACATCGTAAACTATATTCTTTATTGTTCAAAACTATAATAATTGTATTCTTATCAAATAAAATATACACTTAAAAAGAAGTGTTTCACTCTTAGTTTTTGAACTAAAATTAGTTATTAGAAAAGTACACGAGCAAAATTAATCAATATACATTCGTGATCATTGATAATGGGCAATGTACACATGGTGTAAATATTTTTGATGCACATTTTAATTAAATTAAATACTTTTATGTAATAAAATTAATTTACTAATATTACGAGTATAGAAGAAAACAAATTTTAATATGTAACCCATTAAAATATACCCATCATAATTAATATAACATAAAAAGCTAAATATACATAAATTATGATCATATACTAAAATTAACTGTAACAAATAACCTTATTTAAATTAATATATAGCAATTTAATGATTAGTAGTTATTTTTCTATTATAATTTTAAATTAGAACAAAACAGCAAATAATATTATCAAATATGTGACAAATACATTAGTGTTTTTAGTCTTTATTCTCAAAAATAATGTTGCGATTTTTTCTCTCTCTAAAATTATTTAAATTATTATTAAAAAAAATTATTCTTACAAATGTTAATTAAATAAAAAAAATTAAGTTTTATTTTATAATTTTTTTATAATTGTCACCTTGAAGAAGTTAAGAAATTGTTAAAGGATTTTAAATTGTTTAGTACCCATTAGATAAAATAAAAAAATCAAATTATAATGAAGTATACAAAATTTTTATATAAAACGATAGACCTACATATGTGTTATTATATAAAAATGTTTAAAATGAATAGAATTATCCATCTTTGTACTTACATATGTACAAAAGAGTAAAAAATTTATAATAAAATACGATTTATAATAAAAATAAATAAGTAAAAATTATTAAAAACGAATTAGCATATAGAAATGTAATACATTTTTTTTAGGTAGACATCTATAAGTAATCATGAATTTAATTTAAAATAAAAGAATTTTTAAGTATTTGTATAGAAAATTTTAACTAACAAAACTAATAACGTTTATTAAAGTTTCATTAGTATGAATTCTTCATCAATTTTAAATCCACTGTGTAATCACTTTAAAATTTATTTAATAATTATAATTATATTTAATCCACTACTAATAAAAATATTTAAGTTTTATATTCTTATACAATTACATTTGGAAAAATATTTGACTTTAATAATAAACTATATAAATATAATTTTAATAATAATATTGTAAATAAAGATTTGATTAAAGTAAATTAACTTACCTTTTTAATTTGTCTACCGGACTCTCGCCTTGTGGGAATCTTGGCGTTTTTTGAATCTAGTGGTGGATATATGGGATCAAAGGAATTTGCTGTAGGGGTAGTCGTATCGGCCTTTCTCTTCACCCCCTTCTTAAGTTTGGCTGGTTGCGAGGGAGGCATGACTGTTGCTGCCGTCGGTACCTAAAACGTAGTAAATATTTCTCATTTAAAAAGTATTCCTACTATATATTATTATAATTATTTAAAATAGAATTTTTAATATTTTTATTTCTAATGCTTCCCAACACTCTGTACATTACAGATTAAAATATATTTTTGAGATATACAAATATTTTTACATCTTATTTGAAAGTATACCTATGTATTTATATAACATAATATATAATAAATAATACATTTTAAAAAGAATGAGTTAAAAAAAAAAATATGTGTATATATACATATATAGTATATATGGGATATCAGAGTCAAAAACGTGTAAAGTTTATTTTACAGATAAAAATAATATTATGCCCTGATTTTATATTACGTTCTATGGACTATTTATGTATTATGCAACAGTAGCGTGGTAGTGCGTTTATTAATTTTAAAAATCAATAACATTAAATTTACTTATATACAATATTAAGTTTTGCCATTTTTATGGAAGCTAATATATCAATTTGTAAAATTTGTATAAATATAAATAAAGTTAAAATATATGCAAATTGTAAGTGAAAGAGAAAAAGTCAGTCATAAAATTTATAAACATTATTTTTTGCTTAATTCTCTCATTAACTTTTGATTTTATACATGTTGAAGTGACGGTATTGTAAAAATATGAATAACATTTGATTCAGTATTTCACAAATAAGATCTATTTTATAATTTCCTTATCATTTTTATAGAAATTTATTTAAAAATTTATAATAATTTACCAATAATACACAAATTGGATATTAAGTGCACTAATAAGTGGGTAGATCCGATGGAAATTGAAATTGGAAAGGGATTATAATAGTAATTTGTAAACGATTGATTAATTATTAATCGCTACACATCGAAAATCGTATAAACACACAGTCATTGTACATGCTTTTTATTGAATAACTAATTATATAACTATGATACAACTAGATATCATTATGGCGATGGAAAGCTTAAGAAAAAAGAAAAGTAACAAGTAAATTAACTAACCTGGGGCGGTGCTGGAACAGCCGCAGTTGTCTGGGCGTCCAATGCCGGCTGGGCGTGATAGCCCGTCGTCGGCGGAACGACCTGAGGCGGCAGGGAATTGTGAGTGGCCATTGACGCAACCCCCGCAAGGCTTGCGGCCGTCGGAGGCGCTATCGTGGTCGTGTTGGTACTACCGGGTACGGAGGCCGGCGCCTGGGTGCCGAGTGGTGGCATCGGCGGTATCGGCCCCGTGCTGCCGGTCGTTACTGTCGTGGGTACCGTCATGCTATTCGGCACGCTCGAGGACACAGTCGCCGCCCCTGAGGAGGGCCTACCTCGACCTGGAGTTCCGGTGGCACCGGGAGTGCCAGGAACTGGTGCCCCAGCTACTCGACCGACCGCGGGCTTCTTGCCTTTCGGACCTTTCGCTACAGGCGGATCCAGTTCTAACTCTTCCTTTGGCATTTGTGCAACCTAGTGGTGTGAGCAGAAGAGGGACAAGTAAAACAACATTAATTTACAGCTCTCTATGGTTTCGTTATTTAAAAACTTGCTTGTATTTAACAATAGTTTCACGCTTATTTAATAATTTCATAGATATTCAATTAAAAAACGCATTTATTATACTGAATAAGATTTTTTAAAACATTAAATGTAATAAGTAGAGAGAATAATACAATGATAAAAGGCACTGCCAATTTTCATTTGAATGAACGTTGTCGATTTAAAATAGAAGTTTATTGTATCACTACAATTACCTTTGTGAGGAATAATTTTTCGAGCGTTTGTGCCATAACCACAACATCTTCGCCAGGTTTGTTGTAGACGTAGCAATTCGTGAACATCGTATTGAAGTCTTGAACACATTCTTTGCCACTCCAATAATACGTATTCTCTAGACGCTTTTTTATCGTTCCCAGATCCATTGGTTGTTTGATGATTTTGTGGTAATCCTAAGAAAAGACATTTTTAAATTCGATGTAACAAAATAGCTCTACGATATCTAAGTACTCTTAACTACTAAGTTTTTTCATAATTACAATTGCCAAGCATCAAAATACATCTATTTAATGAAAAACTTGTTTTTTGAAAACCAGTGAACTTTTGTATTCTTACTAAATTGAAGTTATGCATTCAAATAATATGTTTCAAGGCATAAGAAATAAAAATATGTATTGACGACACGCACTGGTAAATTGAGTTTTTTTGCGTCTACGGGTTGTTGGAAAGGCCACGCAAATTGATGCTTCCATACTGGCTTGAGAACACCTTTTTGCAAAAATTGCAGCTGATTAGTGACCCTTCCTGGTCGGTTGGGCGGTGGAACGACCGGAGGCTGAACTACGCCATTCACCGGATCCACGGGCGGTTCTTCTCGTGGAGGTGGTTCCTTAGCAGGAGCAGTTGGCGTAGTCGATGCCTTGCCAGGGGCGCTCGTCTACATAATACAAACATAGACGTACAATTTTCCTCGCTTGATTATGGTTTCTTCTTTATTTTTACGATGCTTTACATAGACGACACACACCTACAAAACTTATTCGCTATTTACATTAAATTTACAAACACCATGACCTTTGTTTTTAGTTTAACCGATAACTACTCTATATCTTTGTTACATAGATTTTTTTTTAACGAAAACTATGATAAATGTCTATAAATTTACTATTCCTTGTTTATATAAATCTACATATTTTCTAATCCAAAGAATGACTAATTATATTAATTGATTGCAGACTTTATAAATCTTATTTAGAAATTACTAATAGTGTTAACATTTTAATAGGATTAAAAAACAAATTGAAATAATTGACATACTACTTTATGATAATATCTGTAGCTTATACGATTTAAACGAAATTTATTATTATCATGCATAGGTTTATAAGAAGAGATATTATATATATAAAAAAATTTGAAATTATAATAATTTATAAGAAATTTAGTATTTTTTTTTATAGATAATACAAAATATTCTTTGTATTGTACACTTATAGTAAAGTACAATACATAGTCATGATACATTACATTTAAACATGCTTTTTTACATTATACAAGCGTACAAAAAAGTGAAAGATATGATATTACTTTATTTTTTCACAGACAGTTACATTATATTATGTAGTTTATTAAATTCTATATCAGTGCATTGATAATGAAAATGAAAATATACATGCACAGACGTTAAATACAAATGAAATTGTGAGCGAAGTAGGCTGTCAAAATATATAGTATTTTTTTTTTAAGACAGAGCATAAACAATATGATTTTATTTGTAATGGGAAAAAAAAAGAAGAAAAAAAAAGAAAGAAATTACAAGATTTAGAAAAAACAACAAAGAATTCATTCATTTTTATAAAGTAATATTAATTAAACAGTTGCGAGAATCTAATTTTAAATAGATAAGCATAGTAACTGTACCACATTAACCCCTTACATACTAAAAATAATTCTTTTAATAATTTGAAATTTGCATGCATTGAGTCATTATTCATATTATATTCTTATAAAGATACTAATAAATAATGAATAACATTTAAATTTAATAAATTGCCAAAAAATATATATCCTCCTCATAATCCACAACAGACCATAATCAACAAGGCATCTCACCTTCGGTATATTACACAGCCTTTCTCGCTCGTCCACATCTAACTGCAATTCATACATACTTTTCAGTCAAACAGGGAATAAATTTATCAAATATTTTAATATTATAATCTAACAAAAATATGGCTGATGCTCAAGTTTTATATTTCTAAACTAATTTAATTCTAGAAGCAATAATAGAAAGAATAGTCAGCTAAGTCTAAACAGTTTTCAACAATTTTAATATATAAACAAAAGTGAGATGCTCAAATTATCACTTGTCGAAAATGGAGATATTCTTTATGATACATAATTGCAATAAGTCGTTCTCAGACTTTTATAAATGAAAGCAATAAATTTTACTTATTGTACCACGAAAAAAGAAACACATTATTTTGTAGAAACAGTGTCTATAACAAGATTACAATTAGATAATCTGAACTATATTCGCAGCTTTAGAAATAGTTAGTGAATTATTACACAAGCTGCATTCTTAGTGAGTATTTATTTATTCATAAAAACTTTTTAATATTTACCGAGTTATTTTGCGAGATTGAGTCCACCTGCTGCATCTTGACTTCAGTTCTGAAAGTAATAATTATTTTGTATAATTTCTAAAATTTCTCATAATTTAGGAGGTTATACTCCTTATTTTTTTACAAATAACTCTTAATTTCAAATATGCTCTTTAATTAATAAGAAAAATGATAAATTTGCATTTCCATAAAATATAATTTTTTTTTTTAAAGAACACTTGTTGTCACATTAAATATCTAATTATACAATCATTTTAAATTCGGTATTATATTTACTTTCATAATTTGAATTGAAATACGTATTTCAATAATTCAAAGATTACTTTAATTCACTAATATTTATGCTATTTTCATAAATATAAAATGAATCAACATAAATTCATTAAAATAAATTACATTTTTAAATTATCTTACCTTTCTGACATATATTGTACATAAATGCTAGATAGCAGGTAACTGCTGTATGTTGATTATAAGCTTGATGAGGCTTCATCAACAACTTAGTTGACAAGGATATACCCTGAACAACGCATAGTAGTTGAATAATCGCTTGCCAAGATTGGGCCAAGGAACTCGATGCCGAGGAGGCATAACACTACTCAAGTCTACCGAAAGGTAGCAGCTTGAATGTCAGCCCTGTATGCTGCTGTGATTCTCCGTTCCACCAAACGATGCTTGCAATACTAGCAGCATCTGTATAGTACAATAACAAAATATACTTGTAAAAATATATATAAATAAATAAATATAAATATATATATATATATATATATTTCACATACATACACACATACATACACACATACATACATATAGACTTAAGTTAAATTAAAAAAACTTGAATTAACATAAACATTTATTATATTGTATTCTTCCATAAGCTTATTAGGGTTATAAGATTAACATATTTTGTTTAAAGTATTTTGAAAATTTAAAAACAATTTTATAAAAATATATGCAATTTAAATACAATCATAAGCGTTCGTTACTATAATATTTATACTTCAAGACTCGTATTAAATTGAATTAAAATTAATCAATATTGATTTGGAAACATCAATTTGTATACTGCTTCCACAAATATTTATTATTAAATTCTTTAAAAAATGTTTCCTGTAATTTTAATTTATAAGAGTAAAATTTTAGATATATTTATTTTATGATTTAATATAATTCTGTTACATACAAAAGAAAATGAAAAACTATTTAAATTTGAAAACGCTTTTGAAAAATAAAATTTATATATGGTCATATGTAAAGTTTAAACTGTTATATCAATAGTTACAATGTTAATAAAATACATGTAAACTTAATGGACATATAGTAAATAACTTTAGATTGTATTCACTTTTATAATTACAACTATTTAAGTTATACATACATATATATATATATATATATGATTATTAATCTTTAATCGGACTTATAAAAATATAAGCCATTACAAAATCTTTGAGTGAATTCCTAACAATTTTAATGCTTAAACATAACAGATCGTTATTAATTCTATCATTTAAATGTCAAATAATCCGCAAACTAAATAAATCAGTGACGCTTGACATAAAATTTAACGCTCAAAGATTAATAGATATGATTTTTAATTGAAAACCATGTGTTTTAATAATAAATACATAACCTGCACCAATCAATAAATAATAATAATAATTTCAATAAATAAGTCTCGATTATCAAGGAACGATCATAAAAGTAAAATTAAAGAGTGAATTTTAAGATAGACAGTAATTAAAATTTTTAACACCTCATGTATTCCAATAAACTATGGAAAATTAGAAGACCTATAACATGTAACGATTCCATCTGAATCAACACTAAAATGTTAATCTTTAATGTTATTTGATATACTTAAAATTAATAAGTTTGCTAATGGCAGATAACAATTTAATAATAAATTGTATATCACAAAGATAAATTCAATAACAAGGAATATGGTTCTTTGAATCTTAAATGATTAAAGAATCAAATAAAGAATAATTCCATGGAAATACATTTAACATTTCTTATAATCAATAAATTATTATTGTATCGTAAAACCTTTTTTTTACAATCGACTGACTATGGACTTATTTAAAAAAAAAGATACTGAAATGATTTCGATCCATCTTAAGATTATATACACATTAGGTCGATTCTCAATATCGCTAATCCAATATCAATTAATTAATCAATGGATCGATGACAAACATTTCCAAAAGTTGAAAATCACTTTTCCTCTTGAAATAATGAACTCGACGACGACCACCACCAGACTAGAGTTCCTTAAAGCAAACAATTCCAAAAATGATTCTCAAAAAAACAAACCTAAAACATCAAGCACTGTTATTCACAATCACTACTAAATCTATCGGAGTAACGCTACGCGCACACAATTCCCTCTTCTAATTCAAGGAGCGACACACAGAGTCCGTATCTACAAAAGTCTTCTTCGGCGTGTGTGGAAACAATCCACGTAGGAGTTAGCAACCAACTAAGTAAGCGGGAGAATATCATCGAGGAAGGAGTGGGAGAAAATTTTGATGGACCTGTACCCAAGCGTACGCATGGGCCCAGCGCGCCAACGGTCAGAGAAGCTCGTCCTGGTGGGGGCGGCAACGCGTTCCACATTAAGGGCGCGCAAAGGAGCATAGTCAGACGCGCTTTCAGATACACACAATAGTGAGAGCGAGAAAGAGAGAGAGAGAGAGAGGGAAAGTGTGCGTGACTGTGTATATGAGTTAGGAAGCGAGAGAGGTTTGTTATTACTGGCAAGAGCGGCACGCGTCTTCTCCGTTGCGCGTCCACTAGGACGCAGATAGAAGCAAAGCAAGCAAGCAAGCAACCAGGCAGGCAGGCAGGCAGGCACGCACGCATGCACACAGCCAGGCAAACAGGCAGACAGACAGACAAACAGACAGACAGGCACGCACACAAAATTAGCCACGAGTGCGCACGAGACGATGAGACACTAGAGCATGAGGAAGGAGAGAGAGAGAGATCGCGCTCCAATAAGAAAAGGTAGTGTACACCAACCGACTCGTCCTGCCTCATCCGGCGACGACGGCGGTGGTGGCGGCGCGAAATTTCCAGGTGGACCAGACCCGGCCGCAAAGGTCGACTGCTGGCCTCACGAGGTCGCGAGCGATCCCGTGGCGCGAGCTCTCTAATCCGCGCGTGGGGAAGCTTCTCGACCCCTCGATTTAGCGTAGCTTTTCAGGCAGCCATTCAACATGGCGGTGCTGTGTCGTGTGTTTCACGAGAGCGAAGAGGCTCGGGCAGCTCCCCGTCGTGCCGCCAGCAGGCGCACCGCACGAGCAGCAAACGCGCGCCACCGCCACTACACACGCACAAGCGCCAACGCGCCAACGCACCAACGCGTACTAGCCGCGCAGCACGCATATATCGCGCGCAAGTGCTCGCGAGGTAGACCGAGAGAGAGAGAGAGAGAGAGAGAGAGAGAGAAATAGTCGACCGTGGGTGTGCATGCGTGAGTGGCGTGGACGCGCGCGCACTCGTCGTTAACCTACCGCGATGTATACCTTCCTTGTGCGCGCACTTGTGCTACCCCCGAAATCCGACGGTGCAACACTGACATATACCCACTCGCTTCGTGCCTGTTTGCTCCCTAGACTGGAGAGAGGGAAAATGTGATAGTGTGGCGGCACCGAGTACTCGAGGAAGACGTGCGCACCTCTCCCTTGCATTCATGCGCGTGTCTCTCTCTCTCTCTCTCTCTCTCTCTCTCTCTCTCTCTCTCTCTCTCTCTGCGATGTGTTTGCTACGTACGCATTCCCACATGTATAATGGGTGCATGCGCATGCATGAGAAAAGGCGCGCGCGCGCGCGTGCACAGGAACACACGCACTCGCATGGGAGCATTTATAGTGTGGAGACCGGTAGATGGATGGATTGAGAGAAATTTGCGCGGTACACACGGCGCTTACCTGCGAATGCGGCGCGTATAGCGGCAATGGAAAGTCTACTGTCTCTCTCTCACCCGCTCACTCGCCACTATCCCGTTTTCTCTCTCTTGTCTACGTGCACCGTTCCTAACAGTACGCACGCGATCTTATATTGTTTCTTTTTTTCCCGGTTTTTTTTTTAATGCTCCGATCAAAGCACTTACATGTACCACTAGCGGGATAAAACTAACGAGCGTAAGTGAGCACACGGGAGGAGGAAAGAGAGAAAGTGTGTGGGCTCGGGTGGCGAGCTGGCGAAGCGAGGAGCCCCACGACACCACACAAGCCACGCCACCGCAAGATCACAACTATAAAGCCGCCCGCTCTCCGTTCAGTATTATGGCCGCCCCACTGTCACGGCGGCCATCGCATCGGAATCGAATCGGAGCGCAGCACTTTTCGTACTCTCTCGCTTGCACTCGCTTCGCTTTTCCAACGATACCGTGTGTACAATATACATACTGTCGCTACACAGAGATAACGTTATGAAGGGAAACGGAGTCAGAGAGTCGGGCAGAAAGGAAGGGAGAGACGGAGAGACAGACCGACAGAGCGAGAGAGAGAGAGAGAGAGAGAGAGAGAGTTAGGTTGTGCGGAGGCGACGTTGCCGGAGTTAACCGCTCTCCTGTTTATGTGTATACATGTGTTGGTTGAAGGACACAGTGTCAGCAGCATACGTAGGCCATTCGCTCTTTTTGGAGCAGAGCGCGGGAAACGTCAAAACGTTCGAAACATTGTACTCGCCTTTTATGCGAATTCGCCTGGGGGTGGGCGATGGGTTGCTCGTTTTGAGAAACCACCCTTGACTAGGGTCTATGACCTTTTTGACTCGTGGCCGCCGAGGGGCGCTTGAATAAGGTCATCTTACGAGGTACCAAAATACCGAACCTTCATTATCAAATGTCATTGACCCTCGTTTCGGAGATGCGGAATCCAATTGGCGTGAATTTCTTATAATGCCACGTTTTAAATTAATTGAACTTGCACAGTTCAGCCACATAACGAAACTATCCCTCCAATCTTTCTTTTATTATTTTTCAACGTATAGGCTTTTATAGAACGCATATTAGCTACTTGGAAAATTCTAATAATGCCATAGACTTTGCGAGACTAATGGTTTGTCAATCGACGTACTCCACCAGCGATACCGCAATATAAATTATCAGCAACTTTTTTCAATTATAAAGCATTTAACGTTATTAATCTGGAATTAATACCGATAAATGATTATTTATTTATAATTTATGCATATTATGAATATTTATTTTTATTTAAGTATTTAATATGTTATGCTATATTTTACTACATTATATATATATATATATATATATATATATATATATGCATACATTAAAACATCTATTGTTATTAAAAGATATCATATCTAGTGTCATATTGTTAACTGTACGATATTTGTATGTAATTACTTAATGGGAAATTAAAATGAATTGAAGATAAATTAAATTATCTTAATTTTTGTTTTTAAAATCAACCCACGAAGTACATTTATTTTATGCTTATGAAAAATATTCTTTTAAATTTTATGTAAATATAATGTAAAAATAGTACACTGGAACGCATACCCCATTTAAGCTCCAATGAAAAAGTATTAAAAATCAATCATACATATACTTCATATTTAGCCATAAGTGTTTAAATGTTAATTTCAACTTCATTTATTCAAACGTATATTATTTTTTAAATGGGATTGAAACTTCTATATAAGCCATATATTAG